TAATTAAATAGAAGAGTAAATGCAGTCTGTCATCTCAAACTGCTGAGGGACCGGTTATTGTGTTTCACATAAGTACAGTATTATCTGGAGCTGCAGGGGAATTCTAATTAGTTGCCTTTGAATTAAGGTTAAAACATTTTGGTAAAGTATTGTGGTAACTGGCAGGTAATTAAAATCTTATTCTCCATGAAAATACTCCACCATTCTGAATTGTCAGGAAACTACACTGATGAAGTGTCAGTAAAGTAACATACTGTCTAGAACAGTGGATAAACTCAATTTCTAATGCCTTAGTGCAGCTCTAATTTATTTAAAATGCATCCTATAAAATAACTTATGTAAAGCTCATATTAACAAACAGAGGCCAGAAATATTTTACACATTGATAGCTGATGTCACATTTGTTAAATTTTTATTACATACTGTAAATAAATGACCTTGAACAGTAAAAGGAGACTGCGTTGACATCAAGTTTTTTTGATTGGTGAATGGCACACTTGACTTTAAAGTCTAATCAATTAAAAGTCAAAAGGCTTAGACAATTGAAATGTGAGAGGCCAATTTAGTTAAGAAATTTGCCAGAACTTTTGCGTCCGAAATTTGCCAGAATTTGAACAGAATGGAAAGTTCACCTGATTTAAGTAGGTGATTTATAGATTTATAGATATATACTCTAAATACTAAATCAGCCCTCTTTAATTTGCATTTACTGTAAAATACAAGCATTGCACTTAAACCTAAAGTGCTTTTTATCTATATAAGAACATGCTTGAACAGAAGTCACTGTGACCAAGTCCTTGACTGTCTCTATGGATGTTAAGAGCTTTACCATGGCATTTTATGTTAAAACGCTTCATCCATAATGCATTTTGGCCATAAAGTAGCCTAGTGCCGGTACATAACAATTCTTACTACCCATTTATGATAACAGGAACAAACAAAATGTACATGATTGGAGTACCGTGGAAAGTAGAGGCTGGGAAAGGAAGGGAAACTGATCAGTAATTATGGCGACGTGAGGTAGAAGAGGAGGCGTTTGGCAGCGACGGGGGGTAGAAATCGGTTGAGTGCTGATGAACATTTGAGCATTTCTACATGCCTGAAGGAATTCCATTAACCACTCTGATTAAAGTAATCATTGAAGCCATCGGTGCCTGTCAGATGCCATCCCTGCCCTCTCAATTACCCAGATCTCCTTGAACTCAATTGCTCACATCATCATGGAGACCGGGTGGCAGTGGAAAGCGAGGCAACACTGAAGAATGAGGCATCAATGGTGAGAAAGGGAAGGGGCAGTGGCAGGTGAAACTTCATTCGAGCATATGGAAAATGTTCCCTCTCTGGATCGCTCAGTATACAGGGGACAGAGACTTTATTAGCATAGTTATCATTAACACATATGGTTGCAGTGTCTGATTGTAAACGCAGATGCATAAAGAGGAACTAAATGGTTTAATCAAGAAATAACTCCAACTAAGATACTAAGTTTTGAGTTGTAATGACCTCACTGCATAATATTGTGTAACTACATATGACATTTGTTAATGGAAATGAAAATAATAAACCAAAAACAATAAGAAAGTGGAAAACTACAAAAAAGCAGAGCCTTAAGAATTGCTAACAAGAACTCATAGAATGGCGATTAAAACAATCACTTTATACCCCCCTAGAAAAGATTTGCAATGTCTCTAGTTCATTTCTTATAAAAACTACTTAAATATTATTTTATTTACCGTTTAGATTGCAGTCAACCAAGATTGAATTATTGTATTAGTCCACTTGAAAATCCAACTGGTAGAACCCGAGGAAACAGAATGCTTACATCCTATGCTTCTTTTTTTTATATAAACATTGTGTTTGCTTAGCTATTAAATCAACCCAATCTAAATGTATTTGCTTTGATGTGTACTTCTTTGTTACCTTAATCCAACTGCTTCAAATTAAGATTTGTCATCCAAACTATACTAAGAATTAGTTAATATGTGTGAAATATATCTAATTTCCAGAGTTGATTACAGGTGGTTGCAAAAAAGGGGACCTTGAGTTTATTTTTGGCCCCAGGCCTTATTGCTGGTTAATACAGCCCTGCACATGTGTAGCATCACACTTATTCTGTTTACAATAAACATCTAATCCTGCCAACGCCATCTGAGAAGCCATTAAATACGAGTCTGAGCAAAACTTGTCTAAATCAGTTCCAGAAAAAAAGTTTTTGTTTAATTAGTTCTATTTTTTAGAACACTGTTCAAAAATAATTGCCAGGCAAGTTCAACTCCACACACTGAAAATAGCTGAAGTGATGAGCCAACACTTGGTGCAGCTTGGACAGGTTTCATGCGCTGTGCCACTCTGCTTCCGCATTGATTAACTCTCAAATGGTGTGAAAGCGGAGAGCGTACGGGAACGCCGGCTGCCCATCACCCGTGTCTCTTAGCTTTCCCATTTGAGAGGGGCTCGGATGGAGATACTGTCTGATGAGCTCTCTCTGCTACGTTTAGAGCAAGGATGGAGGATTTCTCTGACAACAGCATCCATACCTGTATCTAGGCCTGAAAATTCAATGATTTTCTGATCAATTCTGGTTTTAATCTGATCTAATGCGCACATTGGAATTTCTACCAACTGGATGCCTAATACAAGTATATTACACTGGGACTTTAAGCTGGGTCAAAGCAGCAATAAAACACACATTCTGTGTTGGATAAATGTTCATACTCACACACACAGTAATGACAAACCTATTTGGAACAAATGATTAATTGATTTCATCAGTGTGCCCAAATAATTTGTCATCCAACATGAAAAAAAAAAAATGTAATTCCAGGATATTAAAATAAATTAATAAAAACTCCACACAGCCATCTGCGCCACTGTTTAAACATTTGTCACTGTGTTGCTCAGGTGCAAAGCGTTTTGCAAAATGAGCATCATAAAAATAAATATAATTCCATGTCAGAAACTATGAGTACCCTATGGGCCACCGATGCTGGTTGAATGCACACACTCCTTGGCTATGATTCACATCTCCCTGCAACATGTATGACACATCCACAGTTACAGTGAGTACCAGGACTCCTCATCTCCCAAATGGTTGCCTTCTGCTCTCATTCTGAGCTTCTCTGAAAACGATGAGGACCCAGAGCGTTACATTTTTTTTAATAAGGGAAGCAGCAGGCACCACGATGGACTTGGTAGTGAAAAAACGTAAACAGTTATATAACAGCTCTTTGCGCACAGAGATGGTTTAATTATAAATTCATTTAATTCCAAATAATTCCCTGTGAGTTGAGAATTAGTCGGCAGGCCTCGTCTCCGGAAAGATGCCGTCTGTCTCTGCTGAGAGAGAGCTTGAATTCCTAAATGGTGACGCTCGCTGCACACTGAAAATGGTGGCACGAGGGCAGTCTCTTGCATTTTTATGGACCCTGCTTTGCATTTTAAGTTGAGGGAATTGTGTATCTGCCAAACACAAATTAACACATCCACTTTAGAGAATCAATATACTTTCAATTTAAGAGCTGCATTTAACATAAATGTAAGATTAACACTTTTGCTTTTTACCTTTGAAAATTCATTCCTTTTGTATGTCACATTTTTTCTGCGCATGTAAAAAAAAAAAAAAGAAAAAAGAAAAACATCCATCTGTCACTGGAGGTTACATGCCAACAACATGGCATTCATTTTTTTTTTTTTTTTTCCCCCAAAAGTTTGAACTTGGAATTTGCAAACTTCCTCTTGAATCTGCATGTTTTTATTTAAAGCAAATATTTGTAAGTGTTTTGTTTTGTTTTTTTATGTTTGAAGATGAGACTTTTGCTTGTCATTTTAGAGCTTTACCATTTTGCACTTTGCAATTTTATTTATTTATTTTTTTGTGGTGCTTTTTCTTAAACAAAAGGAAATCCACCACTAAATATTTTGTACTAACGATAAACCTACTGTGGGGCCATTCTTTTTCTTTTCATACTTTATTCTTTCTGGTCTTGTTCTTACCATTACAAAATGTCTCCAGCATCAACTTTAGCCATTAAAATACACATTAGTTATAAGAATTAAAAGTAGTTAGGATCTAATTATGTAGGTATAATAAATAAATCATCAAGAAGCAGAAAAATGAAAGCATGACATTTGAAATATAGTATCTAAACAATAAAAGCATCCAAGCTGGATGGGATGGGGGTTGGGTATTGCCAAATTGTACCTAGATATCTTTGTGTTAATTGTAATTGAGCATACTGTGGATCTCTACTGATGGCAGAAGCTGGAGAGAAGAAATGTGACCAAGTGATTGATAAAACCTCCTCTTCCAAGAGGATTTCATCTTATATATTGGTCTGATTGTGGTCATAATTGGTCATATCTGATTAGACTCAACTGGCTGGAACAGGGATCAAAACCACAACCAGCTAGAAGGGAGTGTACTATAATAATAATAATAATAATAATAATAATAATAATAATAATAATAATAATAATAATAATAATAATAATAATAATAATAATAATAATAATAATAATAATAATAATAATAATAATAATAATAATAATCTAATTACTATATACATATAAAACCAAATGAATTGTATTCTAAATTTAATCATTTTTATACCTATAGATTAGTTATTCTAAACATTTATAAAGAAACTAAAAAAGGGCAATCTGAACAGAAAATTAAAAAAACCGATCTACCTCAGTCCAGCTGTACATTTTGAATACAGTCAAAGTTGATAACCACTGGCTTTCCAGAAGCTCCAAGTCACCTCCAATTATGTTTATATAAATGACCTCCTTGTCGCTCGACAAGCAGTAATGTGGATGCAGTTGTCATGGAATAATTGCAAAGGTTTAAATGCTCATTGATTGAATCACCATTGATTTCATTCCTCTCTGAGACACAAGCAGCCCCCTTTAAGTGAAGCACATACTGTATCGCTGCTTCTTAACAAATATACTGTTAGATGATGTAAAAAATTAAGTTACAATCAACCCAACTCAGATGGTCGTCTTCATACCAATCAAACACTTTACTTTTCCTCATAAGCACAATATATGAACCTGACATCTTTTTTTATTTGATGACAATAACATAGTTTGGTCAATATAGTGCAATAAGTGCAAAGCAATCAAAACAAAGAAACTAATAAGGGATAGAGAATCTGCCAATGCTTGTATAAAAATAGGTGTTACAGAGATTAAAATATCAGTATTACACAACATAATGAATAATTCAAATATTTAAGAATTTAGTTTTGATAACATATCATTTCTATATATTAAGAATGAATACTCATATTCATTTTTAATATCATAATCTCCTTTATGAGAGCTCAATGAAGGCAAACCTGCCTTCCAATTTCAAAAAAGTGCAGAAAGCATACAAAGACACTATTTTTTTCCCTTTTTTCTTGGATCTTCAAATGATGCAGTCTGTTTTTGAACAATTGGGGGTGTGCCACTTTCAAAGAAAATAAAAAAGCCACTGTTACAATGCAGAGCTACAGTAAATGAAACTACAAACATAAGCCTTTTTTTCCAGAAGATCATGGAATATGACACAGTTAATATCTGATGTAGAATCAAAGTTGTTTTTTTTAAAAGACATGGCAGATTATATTAATAAATATTTACTTACAGACTACAGCAGAAAATAGTCCTACACAGTTCTGATCATCTGCTGTACAAGTGTTTCTTTTCTCTCTTTTTTGTCCAGGAGGGATTTTATAAACAATTTCTCTCTTCTGATTCACAATATACCTTTTTTTTTATGTACGGTTATATTCCTGAAAATGAAGTTGAATAGGATTTACCAGTACACTTACATTTTATGCTATTCCATCTTCTCTTTAAAAAAATAAAATTTGCATCGTCAGTGGAGTTTGTTCATCTATGTGTCAGACAGCTGTATCCCTTTTCTTGCTGTCGAGTTTCAGAAAGAATTGATTGTTCGGCACACCCCGTCCTAGCTCCCTTGCCTTCGCTTGTGTGTTTCTGTGCCAAGGCACCCTATAATAAACTGAGCCACTCTTTTAAGGAGTTTCAACAGAGAAAGTGTCTCATTAACATTACCGACTGTGTTGCTCAAAACTGACTAAAGGTGGTCTGTTTCTCAAGGACCTCGAGGTAATCAGGCTCAGATTGCAGTTTAGCTTTAAGTTCCAAATATTCGTTCCTGTTGGGCTCTACATAAACAGTACTGGGTGCTGTGCTGTAGAGCACAGTTTCTCTTATCCTCTCCGGGTGCAAGAACTGCCGTCTGACATCAAAATTTGGGTTGTATGTGTATGACACAGGCCCAGTGTACTTGTACTCTAAATTGGCTGCTGGGATCGATGGGATAGACTGATGCGGGGACTGCTTATCCGGCTCCAGAATGCCCCTGAAAAAATGGTCTGCATCCTGAACAGGTGAGGGGTTGTCACGCGGCTCGATGGTGCTGACGCTGTAGGCAGGACTCCTCAAGGTGCTACCATCCCTCTCCTCATCCTGGGTACTCCGATATGTCACCTTGAGCTCGTGCAGGTCTCTGTAATCCTCCACTGTATTTCCTTCTCGCGACCTATAAATAGGGTTTTTGCACATGTGCCCCATGGGGTGGGGAATATACTCATAAACGTGACCAACTGGGGCTTTGACTTTTGGGCCAGAGCGATTGCTATAAAGGCTGTATTGCAGGTTAAAGGAGCTAACGTCAGAATTGTTGGTGCTAGTGCGGTCGCTTTGTGACTTTTTGCGCCTTTTCATTACTACAACAAAGAGCCCTGCAGCAACAAAGACAGACATGATGAAAACCAGCAAGAGGCTAAGGATGAGGACTGACAGGGGAACCGTGCTCCTGGTGGTGTTAAATTTCGGGGGAGCATCTGTTGTGACAACATGGTCGTCCATGGGCTCCTCTGTGGGGGGAGTTGGTGAGATATAAGAATCAGTGTAGTCTGGGCACAACTGCTCAGAGTGGATTGAACGCAGATCCATCCCAGTGTGCCGTGTGGGCGTCTTACACACAACCTCATTAACTACTGTGCCTGCACTGAGCTGCTCGAGCCATATCTTCATCCCCACTATGTCGCATGAACAGTCCCAAGGATTGTCAAACAGATCTATCTGTACAAGTAACTTGAGCTGATCTAAAACACCGCTAACAGGCAGGTTTTGGAAATGGTTGCTGCGCAGATTAAGCCGAGACAGAGAGAGGCTGGAAAAGATGCCCATGGGTAAAGTTTTAAGGAGGTTGTTGTTGAGGAAAAGCAGCTGCAGATTAGGCAGGTAGCGAAAAGTGCCAGCCTCCACCTCCTTGATATTGTTGTACTCTAAATAAAGGTACTGCAAGTTCTGCAAGCCAAAAAACATCTCCCCTGTAAGTCTGTCCATGAGATTACCATTTAAATACAGCCGACGCAAGTTTGTTAAATCCCCAAAAGCCCTGTCATGAATCACACTTATCTTGTTGTTTCCCAGGTGAAGCAAATCCAATCCAGTAGCATCAACAAAATCAGATCTTCGCACCACAGGGATGTAATTTCCAGTAAGATACATTTTTTTAGGGTTGTATGGCTTGGGTTTTAGATCAGAAATGCTTTCAATCTTTCTCTCTTGGCAGTTGACATTTAACCCAATTTCAGAAATCTGCAGATTACATGTGCAGGCAGTGGGGCAGTCCAAAGGCACAGGAGATTTGGTCTGAAAAGTCATGATGGGGCCATAGTTATACGGGTTACCACCCGGTAACCGAGCGGTGGGCTTTAACCTAGTTCTGTTAAATTGCCGTGGACCCTTGGTAGGCCTGGAGGAGGACCTAAAAACAGCTGGAGAGGTGGCAGAGACTGTGACAGCAGCAGGTGTGGTTTGATAATATCCATTGGTGCTGCTGGGTGGTGCAGGCCTGACTGTGTCCTCAATGGGTCTCCGCGGACACAACTCCTGCTTGGTCACCTCATCCAGGTCTCTGCCATGAAGCCTGAAAGGTGTCTCGCACACTACCTCTCCAACCAAAGCGGTGTACGCTATGCTTTCAAGCCAAGCTTTAAGAGCAATGAGCTCACAGGAGCAGTTCCACGGATTTTCCTCAAGCTGTAATTCCACAACTTTGTCCATGTGCTCCAAGAGGCCAATGTAAGGAAACATTTTTAGTCGGTTCCCCCTCAGATCCAAATGTGTAAGGGGGACATTCCGGAATATATTTGGGGGGAGGGCAGAGAGTAAATTATCATTCAAAATCATTACTGTTAGATGGTGTAGTTTGCTCAACGCATTGGGCTCTATGTTTGTAATATAATTATAATCTATTTGAAGGTATTCCAAACTTTCCAGACCTGTAAAAGTGTCATCCCTCAGAAGGTCAATCTTGTTGTTATTCAGGTGCAACCTTTTTAATCCCTGGAGTCCATTGAAGGCACCTGACTCAATCTCAGAGATATCATTGTTCCCCAAGTGCAGGATGGTAACCCCAGTGTAATTGATGAAATCATTGACAGACAGCTTCTTGAGGAGGTTCCTTGTCAGCAGGAGGTGGTACATTGGGTACTGAACCGGGCTGATTTCGGTCAGTCTGACAATCCCCCGGTCCTCGCAGCTCACCGTCAGGATCCCCTCCTTCTCATCGCACGTGCACAGGCTCCGGCAGATCTCCCCATAATTGTCATACATCTCGACCAGCCTCGGAGATGATGCAATCAGAAGGATTATTTTTAGAATCCAGATATGCATTTTGTCCTGGGAGAGGATGTCCCGGCTCACTCGAGTGTGGTGCCAGTGTGAGGTGTCATCTATAAAGGGAGAAAATATGGGGAGAGGGGGTGGAAGAAAATAGAAAAAGGAGGGGTTCTATTTTATACTGCACAGGAAATGCATGACACGTGCAACATTTATAAAACTGCATAGCTGCCTCCTAAATGAACTGAGACCCTGTGAGTATTCATGGAGCATAGGCAAAACAAGTAGGCCTTTTGAAGGTTGATCAGAATGCAGATGGGCTGCACGTTCAGTGTTTAATAACTACAAACTTGAACGATGGGTATGTTGTTGATTTAATGATTTCCAATTCATCCTGGAGAGAAACAAAAAAAAATCCACCACCCTTCTCCTCCTAAGTACCTACACGGGAATCTTCCATCGGTTTCTAATAAGGAATCCGGAAAAAAAAAAAAAAAAAAAAACTCCCCCCGGCAAACTGTGGCCAAACTGTCTGGCTTCTTTCCCGACTGAGAGCAAATAGCAACATGAGGACACAGAATTTCTTTCGAGAGCGGCATCATTAAATGTATTCTCAGTTGCATTTGTTTTTGTGGGGGGGTGGGTGGGGGGTACTGAAAAGAAAATGGTGCAAAAGGAAAAGAAAAATATGGATCTCTCTCGAAAGAAACGATTGAAAAAAAAAAGAAAAAAGAGACTGTAAATCTTGGAGAGGGGAAAAACATATACAGCCTAGGAAGGCAATGGAATCTGTGTTGCCATAAGGCAAAGAAAAAAAAAATATGGAGAGAAGTTGATCAAAGACGAAGATGGCATGAGGGGCTGTTGATCTCTGGTAAGTAACTAGGAGATGAGGCGGCAGTGAATCTGCTGCTATAGAGGGGTTACATATTGTTTTTCCTTTTGGCTTCTCGTGCATGGGGATTTACACACACACACACACACACATATGATCTGTGTTTATCGAATTCCTTCCAAATAGTCTCATTTAAGACATTTCCAAGTAGTGATATCGATTTTTATAGTCACATTTAATAGAAACATTTAACCTACATGAGGCACTGGTTAGTTAACACTGGTTATTATTAATAACTTGGAAGGCATTTTTGTAAAGGTAAGGAAAAGCGACACGCATACCTTTTTCTAAACTGTCTTAAATCGTATCAACTTCGCTAATGCAGTAAAAGGCAGAGAAAGGGTGGTTGTGATGGTAGGGGGTGGGCAGACAGAGATTTCAGCACCATGGACAGATCCCCATAAAAAATCTTACAACCTACAGTGGAAAACCTCTAAATTCGAGGGGGCTTTATGGATGAATCATAGATATCTTACCGTGCTGATCCCTCTGAACGTCAAGGCATCCCGAAAATCACGGTCTTTTCTCTCCAATCTTAGTGGGAAACATTGATTTATCTTTTCCTCCGCCTGTGATTTTCAGCCGTCCTTCATTCGATCGCAAATCAGTTTATTCAAAAAGTAAAAACATAAAAAAAAAAAAAAAAAAAAAAAAAAAGAATTAAATAAACAAACAAGTCAAGTCTCCTCTGTGTTAGGCTCCATACAGCAGCCGCTTGTTAAGAGTGGCGTCTGATCCGGGAGAAGGAGGGGGGAGAGCTCATTCACGCCAGCGCGGCTCCCGAGTCCGACCGGCTGAAATCAGCGGCGTCGTCTCGGAAGAGCAGCCAGAACCAAAGTTCATACATGGCTGAGAAAAGAGCGCTGTAATCCAACATCACATCACACCGGGTTTGCCGCATGCATTTTTAAACCTTGACTTCCCTCCAAATGCGCACCGACTGGAAGTATGCGCGTCTTTTTTCTTTTTTTTTTAGCCACCGTCCAAAGCGAGCGCAGATCAGCGAATATGCTCTTCCAGCTTTCTCCCCGAACGCAAGAATCCCGACCCCCCCGTCCTCTCCCTCTCTCTCCCTTGCTCTCTCTCTCTCTCAGTGTCTCTCTCTTTCTCTGCAGCTCTGCATCGGTCATGCGATATCCAGCATTGGTGTTGTGCACAAGCTTGATCTTTCCACCAAAACCTTTTTTTCCCCCCACCAACTAGTAGAACTTGATCTCAGACTGGCGCAAAGCAACAGCAGGGTGACAATTCAACCTTTTGCAAAAATCATCATCCAAACAGTAATCATTCTTGGGAAATGATCTGCCGCCCAGTTCGGGAATGAAAAGCAATTTAATGCGTGCAATAGTCTTAAAGGGTGTATCGTTATGTAGAGGAGGGTGGGTGGAGAGAGAGAGAGAAAAAAAGAAGCTTGGTTATGTGGGAAGGAGGAGGCTCGAAGAAGACCCGCAGAGGGCAGCACGATGATTAAACAAGGTATTCTTTGCAGCAGCAACAAGCGTCTGAGAGGCGCAGCTGGGCACAGGAAGCTGCTTGATTCGTTATGAATGATGCACGCACTCAGAGGTTGTCTTTTTTGTCAGGAAGAGTACTCGAAAAAAAACGCCCCTTGACCTATGTCTCATTTGACTGACTTAACCAGTGAGTTTGGATCGTTGCAGTAGTTTTCTCCTTCCTAACTTTTGTTTATTTTTTCAGATTACAGCTAAAACATTTCATTTCTTATTAAGATATTATATCACAGACCAATATAAAAAGGAATTATGAAGTAAAAAAGATCCACAGCTCCGCTGAGAAAATCATTCAGTAGCTCAACTATTAATTCTGGACTCTGCAAGTCTATTACTACTACTACAACTTGCAGAAAAAAAAGCAATCATTGTGAAATAATACAAAAAAGTCTTATTATAAGTTTGCTATAAACCATTAAGAGGAAAAAAAGCAAAAACTGAGAAGCATAATGGTGGCAGCATCATGCTAGGGGGAAGTTTTTCTTCAGACACAACAAAGCTCAGCAAGTTTTACTCAGAATCAATGATTAATTGTTGTAAATGCAACCAGTTCTTTATGTGCTTTTTTTCAGTCTTATGGTGCAAAGGACCCTAGATGTGCACCATGTCAAGTTTATTTGTTGTTTTTATTTATCAAAAAAATAGAAAGAACTAGAAAATAAAAATGAAAATCACATGTTTTTCTTTCTCAGGACCAAAAAGAAAAAGGAAAGCAACCCCTCCCACCAACTAGGTTACTTTTTTTTCAATAAGGCAAATTCTTCAGATCCTTTTTTGTTCTGAAACATTAAATAACAATAACAAAGATCCCTTTGTTTGTTACTGTTATAAAAAAAGTCATCTACTTTGTTTCATTAAATGGAAATAAAAGCGTTTTTTTTCTTTTAAAGAAACATCAAAGTAGCCCACAAATAGTTTTAACACTGGTCCACATGGCAAACGACCTAAACAGTACTGTTGAAAAAGCTGCAAAAGACATGAAACTGTGGTAAGTTTCATCTTCCAGCAGAACATAGAGATAAATCCATTTAAGATTGGTGACAAGAATTGAAAAGAGAAGCTTACATATGCTCTCTATCCAATCTGATTTAGCTTGAGTTATTTTAACCAAGAAGAAAAAAAAATACAGACTCTTTGCTTAAAAATTGCAGAAAAATGTACAAACCAAAACACTTGCAGGTTTAGTTGTGGTGAAAAACATGCTTCAGGGTACTAACTTAGGGTTTGTTGTAAAATGAATGTCACACTTTTAAGATTTTTACTTATTCAGTCTTTTACTCAAAAACAATGGGAAGCTTATACAGTATTAACAAAATATGTAGAGATTTTGAGTTGTCTTGTGGTGATAAAGTGTGAAATTTAAAGGCTGTGAATGTTTTGTGAGTCACTGACTATACCAAAGTTACGGGAACACCGTTGCAAATCCATACGGATTAAACAAATAGTGCTTGCAAACACAAATTTACAAGAGATCTACATCCACAGAATTGAATTTACTGCAGGATTAAGCTTAATCCAGTTTTGCACCAAATACTCCAGCCCACTAATGCTGCCATGCATCTTCAAGAGCTTCAGATTTTATTTTGGCTTTTTTCTTTAAACCAAATCATGGTTAATTTTCTCCCTCCCTAACTGCTGAAAGAGCATAAGTCAAGTCAAAGCCGATGCTGCCCTTTCCCCCTCTCTCACTGCAAAGAGACATGAAACTTTAGAAGCACTTATAACTAAAGCCTGGACGGAAAATCTAATTAAATCAAGGCATATGGTGGGCCGCCCATGTCCAAAGAGATTTCCCACTTAGTCAGTATTGTGCTGTAATAATTCAACTCTTGGAGCCCCTCCGTCTTTAGCATGCAGGGAGCGACAATAAGAGGATGTGGCATCTGTGCCGGCTTTTTTAAAAATTAGCCGTGGAGGATGCATTGAATTATCTTAAAGTCTCGTCGCTCTGTAATCGTATTAAGAGCGGTCTATCCTTTGAGGATTGGTAAACTCACAAATGTATACTCTGTCACTATAGAGGAAGTGGCGCCCCCCTGAGAGAAGTTGTGGCATCAAAGCAAAGGGTGTAAATGCCCTGAAAATAATTTCACTGATGTGGGAGGTAGATAGCCATTGTATGAGGCAAAGCTTGGGTTTTGGATAGGAAGTTCAACAAACTTTGTAGAAAGCAACTTCTTTGCAGCAAAAGTTCTTAATGTCTGGGGACATTTTGCACCATGCATTAACACACAAACATGTTGAGGGGACAGCAAATGATGAGAATCTTTCCTCTACAAGGGCTTAATGGGCTCATACAAACATGAGGGCCATTACCGTAGATCAACTGCACAAAGCACACAATATTCTAATCAGGTTTAGGACAAATAAGGAAGTTATTAAATGCAAATGAAAGTTCATGCCGTGGCGAGTTTAACATGGATCTTTTGCTGGAACTTAATGGATTTTAAACATGATAGAAAAGACCTCTCTCTCATGAACTCATTAGTACAGCAGCTGTTAAGTAATCCAAAGTATATTTCATGAAGGTTTTTTTCCCCCTAAATGGTCAATTTGGAACATATTTGCTCATTGGGAATTCTTTAAAGGGAGTTATTTTTTTTATTTGACACCATGCTTCTGTGGAGATATTGTTAGCATTTAGTGTCTTATCTACCATTAATAACTAACAGCATCTGTTTTTAGATAAGCTAAAGCTAAAAGCTAGAAACTGTGTTTCTAAAATCTTTTTTAAGGAAGGTGATTTTTAATAATTCATAGATCAGCCCTAATTCTTAATGTAATGACCATTACCAAACATAAAATGTAAAAATTATGAGTTTTAAAGGTTTATAAATTATCTTTCACAAACTGAGATGAAGGTTCTCTATAGGGGAACTTGTCACATATAATGACTTCATTTCTGCATAAGTAAATCATTGCATAAAGGAGTTTTCTAGTTAAACAATTGCACCCTTTTAGCTTACAATATCTTATTTGATTCACACCTTGTTTTTGCAGGAATAGAAAGCTCTTTTATGTATATTTAACCAAAAAAAGACCACATGAGCGATGGTATGACATTGCAACAAACCCAATGAGTAAACAATAAGAAGCCAAGCACAAACAAGCTGAGGAAGTCAGCAACATATGATACAGGTGCGAAAACTCCAAAATAATGTAATAAAACCGCAAAAAGTCATGTTTGATATTAATATGGATGCTGTTTTGCTTTGAAATGGGACCTAAAGCTACCGAGGCATTCCAATTTAAATGCCAAGTTGTGGAATCTGTGAGTAGGTTCTGCCAGCAGACGGGGCACAACATAAGTCTTCTGAACTCTGGTACAAGTATTCTTTTCAGAATCCCAAAGGGCTAAGTAAACACTATCAGGAAGAACACTTAAATGTCCCATAATGTTGTTGGTTTGTCTTGGGTATTGTTTTTCACAATTTACTGAAAATGTGTTAAGAATCCTGCCTATGGGTCTAAAACTGCCTTTTTTTGCCCTCCTCAGTATAAAAAGGGATTACTGAGTTAGATTTTTTTCTTCTGGCTTAACCAGAATGTGATGCAAACTGCTGATACATCAACTCTAACCTTTGCAGTGGTGGTTCGCTTCCCAACTGACAAATTAATTGAGTTACTTAAAATGGGAGACAGAAATAAGTCAAAATTTTCTACATTATAAATTTAATAAAAAAAATGGAAAGTGCAATAAAATTGGATATATACCAGCCTGCATAATCTCTCCCATCCAGTATAATGATTTGACATTAGATTTGTGTCAGTCATATGAAATTAAATCTAATAGAAAAAGAACCCAATTAAATTAAAAAGCCCCTCAATTTTGAAGGACAAAATGATATAAAAATAGAATGCACACTAAAATTGGACAAAAGTCAGTGTGCCTCATCTTTCTAGTCTAAAATAATGTATTTTTTTGACTTTGTGTTAACTGGTCAGAAGACTTTAAATGGTTATTGACTCTTGTTCATTAAATGTTTCGATTTGATTTTTTTTTAAATTCCCCATAAGAACCAATACATGTGGGAGGAGGGAACAGCCAGACAGAGCCTCTGAGCCAGTGGCTACGCCTGATAGGGCGTCATACCGCCACTCCGTCATAAAATGCTCATCACTGGGATTGCTCTGCTAACCATGTTCATGTGCCTGTAAGTGCAAGCATATGTGCCCAGCTCTCAACCCCCCTGCACGTTGTGTAGTCCTCTGAGCACACCTTCCAGTGGGAGCATTTTCAGATATATGTCCGTGGACGCAAAGCTTTGGAGCGACAGGAATTGTAACTTGAGGGATACTGTTTCATTTAATGACTAATTTTTGAGTTTTTTTTTTTCCAACAGTCATACTATATTGCTAGGCTCCTTTAATTTGGCCGATATCTGCTCTGGTTTTGGTCAGACAAGCTTGTAGCCCAGCTTTTTAGCATGTTGCCAGTTGTAGAAAAATCTGTGAAGTTCTTTTGTGAAAGCCAAAAATAAAAAAAACAAGTCCCTTCATTCACCACAAGGCAGCATCCGGGGCCTCGCTCAGGAGAGCTGAGGAGATGTCTGAAGTATGGGAGTCTTTCCTGAGACTGCTGCGCTGATGACCCATCCTTGATATAGTGGAAGAAAACCACTATGCAAACATTTCCATTGTAGTTCTCACTTTATGTTTATGGTTAATGCCCTGCTGGAGGATGAACCATCAGTTTAGTTTAAAGTCTTTTACAGATGTTTTTTTTATAAGAATACGCATGCCACACTTTTCAGATTTCTGTCAAAATAAAACTGTTAACCCTTTTCTCCCACTTTGTTCCAACATCATTCAATTCAACTTAAATTCAAAAATATTTAATGGATCCCAAAGAGAAA